AAGTTCCACTTTGACATCTTTGCTAATTTACGAGTCATGGCTCCAACACTTGGTTCAGAGTCGGGCAGTACAAAGTAACTTGAAAACTATATAAATAAAACATGAACACGCTATTTTATTTTAAGCCTAATTTATCATTGCCATGGAGGTAGCGTAGGTGGATTTAATGAAATGGGCTAAAGACCAACTAAAAAAGAAACATGTCCCAGTTTAAATTACACTTAGGTTCCAGCTGGCAGCTCTGTTCGGGACCGAAACTCCAGCTGCAGCTCTCCAAGGAATTCTTCAATGGGTTTTGCAATTCAATTCATAAATTAGATCGGCTATTTATTTATTTTTATATACATTTAAGACCAAAAGGTAGCAATGCTCTAAGCAGCTTTCATGTCCTTTCTCCGCTGCGTTCAGGGTTGAGGTCACTCAAGCAGCAATAACGTTGAAAAAATGAGCCGTCTACCCCCAAACAATAACAGAATTCCCCTTTTTATGTTTGCTACGCCCACTGCTTTCTGTTCTTTGCAAGACTCCCCACGTAGATGCAACTGTTTGCCCACCCTTCCTGTGAACAACTTAATTAAGCAAAAGCAAAAAAAAAAAAGTAGAGAAAGTGACAGATTTTGCGAACTTCACAAAAACAGCGCTTTGTGGGTATAACGTGTATGCTGCATTAACCCCACATTCCTGAGCTAGTTAACTAGAGAGAGACTTGGCATTTTAGTATTTCAAGTTTACTCTAACACATATTGGAATAATGAAAAATTTCCACTAGAAGCTGGTGAAGCATCTCAAACGCGGTTAATTAACCTGTTTATACGACAGAGGATTTTCTGTTTGAAGTATTGATTATCCATCTGGCAATTGGCGAGTTAAATGCGGTAAATAATTAACGGCTTATTACAAACAGGAAAAAACACCCTTAATCCAATCAAGGACAGTATGTTATTATGCACCACTCACCGCAGGGCACCAACTGCTGGAGGGCAGGATAAAACAAGGGGGATTCCCTATCTCACAGATAAATTGTGCAAAACATAGCTGGGGTGTGTATGTTGGTTTAAAACGCCTTTTAATTTAGTTGGAAATAAATGACTTGAAACATAATATAAAACTATGAATTATGTCAATTTGAAGAGCTTTATGATAACACCTATGGAGACTTGAGGAAAGGAAATTTCACCCACAGCGGGAGACCCATTCAGGTTCACTCTCCACATCCCTGAAATCTTTTTTCCTCCTCAAAACTTTATTCGTCTTTTCTCCCCTTTCATTTTTAAACCACATGTAGCCCTTGTACCATTTTTTCATCCAGTCCCGTTCATTTTCTCCCTTGTCTTCAATATTTTAATGATAAAAACACTGTCAAATAACATAAACTCCTAAAACCACTGGTCCATCTTTCCAACCCCTTCTCTCTTCCAGTCATCTCCTGTCCCAAATAGCCACTCCATCCCTTTAACTTTGAGGCATGTTCTTTGGGATTTACACACACTTTACCTGTTCTTTGCTCACATTTAATTGTATATTCAACCCCTTGTCCTTTTACCCCTATTATCTTTTTAATCACCCACATGTCCACCATGTCCCATTTTACCACTAAATAAGTATAAATATTATTTTTCACTTTTGCCCTAAATCAATCCTTATCCATACAACTCATACACTCTTCAATTTTACCTGTTTATGATTCAATCCAACATCATTGTAATAATATTAATATATAGTAGACTTGTAAAAGGCGTAAAAAGTTTCGTTAATGAAAAAAGTTTCGGGAAAACGAATCAGACAAACCAAAAAGACATGAAAATGAGCAAATCATGTACTGCAAGCAATTTACAACTAAAAATTATTATGCATCCTTTTGCAGTATACTCATGGGTGCATGTTTCCGCCATTTGGTACACAGATTGAGAAAGAAAAAGTAACCAATAGAGGGGGAAAAGAGGAGGAGCCGTTAAAAAAAACCTATATAATTTATATTTTGTATATATTAATATACTTATTAAATATATCATATATATATTTTTTTTTAACGTTCCTCCTTTTTTCCTCTTCTGCTGGTCACTTTTCAATTGATCTGTGAATAAGATCAACATTTAGCGTCTGTCCCTCAGCCATCAATCATATTTTTCCCTATTAATCATCTTTTTTGGTGTCACAGTCAGAATCAAAACAAACATACTATCCTTTGTGCAATTTATTTGTTTTGTGATTTGGCTACATATCGCCTCGTACTTCAGGAATTCGTACAATCACCCAATGGGCCCTAATTCCAAAAATAATCTCTAAGTTTAATATTTATTCATTTAGGAAGCTAAATTATTATCACTATTCACAAGGCTATTGTGGGCAATATGTCCACATTGAATGCATATTGTCTTTCATACACAATATTAAATACTGTCCATAATTCATTTTATGTGTCCACTGGTATACTAGACCTTATGAATATTATGGTGCCAGATCTAACTTTTCACTGAGGTAAAGTCCGTAATATAGGTCCTACAGCAGAGAAGAGATAGCTTGCCAATATACGTCGTTGAATCCATTTAAACTTTTGTACTTTATATTTCAACAGTTTTGGTCATTTCTAAGTCTCTATCGTACTTGTTTGTAGTTTAACTAGTTTATAATTTGTACTCGTACATAACTCAAAGAGGACTTGATGTAAAGTCGTTTTATCATCTTAAAATGTTATTTCCTAAATTAGCAATAGTTGAGGTAAGTCACATCGTCCTTTATGTTGATTATGAATTGAAACACAACTGTGGAAAAATTTAATTGTTGAAATAGAATATGCATAAAAATTTGCAGAGAATGACGCAATCTGTCACCCCCTCGACAGATTTTGCACACATTTGGTGTTTTTAACTAAAATGTGAATTGCAGAGAAGTATAAGGACATACTTGAACTCGAGAGAAATCTCAACGTATCCTTCCTGGTAAAATAGTTTATAAATAAATAAATAAATAAAATATATCATACCAAACTAATTTTAGCAACTATTCTTTTGCTGAGGTAATATACTGTGTTTATGTTTGCAAAAGAGGAATTTGCAAATTCCTGTAAAAATATTTTCAGTATAATAGTCAAGTTTGTAGGTGAAAATAAATTTTTCTGAAAATTCTACTTTTTCTCTGAAACAATTTAGGGCAAAATTTGTAATTATTGTTAAATACTGAAATGGTTATAAAAGTATATAAAAATAATATATTTATGTGTACCCCTAAAATGACCATGCGTGTTTTTTCGTACGTTGCTCCCATTGATCCATTGATGTTACGTTTTAAGTAAAATATTGATTTACGTGTAGATTTACAAATGAAGGCTAATTATTCTTTTAGATCCAGAGAGATAAAATGTCTGTAAGTCGCTGAGTGACATTTCCTGCAATTAGACAGAGTGCATCGTACACCATTTAACTGCCAAAGTTAAATACACTGCGCATTATTCTAGTACTGACAAAGTCAAAAGGTAAAAAGGCATGTTAACAACACCATGCTTGATAGATGGCTCTTGTTTTACCAAATTTATGGCCTTGTACGTCCTCTGGGAGACTTCCCACGTTGAATTGTTCAACGTCACTGACCCTAATGCCCAACACAAGGAGGATGGGAGCTAACCCAGATGTCTGTGGTTACCGTGGTAGGTGCAAAGTCCCAGAAAAACAACCTGCATCCCATCTATTGGAAGTTGCTAGTGAGCAGGGGTCAGTGGGAGGACTAGGCCAGTGTGCGAGGCCCAGTGATTTGGTGCAGTTTGTTTTTTGATTAGTGCAGTTCATGACCAGGCCATCCCACCTGAATAACAATGAGGCCATTTCCCAGAAAGACTGAGCAGCACGGGATGAAGAAGGCCCTTAAGCATATGGGTCTAAGTCCTGGGAAATTCAGAACCTTCTGAAACCCAGATGGCTATTCTTCGGACATATGGAGGAAAACTGGAGACTTTTTTTAGTGCACGCTTTATTAAGGACCTATATGGAGAACACAAGAAGAGAACACATGGCTAAAGTATGCTATGTGCTCAGGATGTGAAGAGGGTATTCTGGATTTTGTTTTCTTAAAAGGCTGAATGTTTATGTAAACTATGTGGCGCCATTTATATCAAATGGATTTTCAAGGCACATTTATAATAATTTTTCTGTCTTATCCCACTATGTTGCACATAGTATGAAGAATGGTTACAAATCTCAACAAACCATAAATAATATTCAAGAAGACAACGGGTTCTTTGTTATATTTTTTATTTTATTTTAAAAAATTACCAAAAACTTGGCTCCACATATTTAGATTGCAAGCTGTTTGGACAGATTTTTTTTAAATAAAAAAGAGACAATAATTGTTTTTGTTTATTTAGTGTCCTTTCACATTGCACACCATAACCTTGGAGGAAAGGTTGTTAGAGGTTTGTAAACAGAAGTGTAATGACAATCAATACTGATTGTCTCAGTGTTAGCTCTGGCGACTCCTTCAGTTGAAGCAATTAGCCATTTTTTGGAATGGATAAATTAACGATGAGGAAACATTTTGTGTCCCTAGCGCTACGCCATTTGGGAAGACTTACCACCTAACGTTCTGGCATTAGGTAACTTCATGGAGCCTCAACCATGATACTGGGAAGAGAAATAAAAACAAAAAGAGAACAAAATTTTAAAAAAGAGAACAAAAATTAAATACACAAACGAATAAATATATATGTACAAAAATAGTGCATTCAACTATGCAAGAAGGAGTCCAAGTGTCAATCATTACCAACCCAGATTGTTACAGTGTGTGATGGAAAACACTCCAAGTCAAACAAAAAAGACCAGTGCTAAGATGGTTATCAGACTGCAACGACCAAGTGAAAACAAGGAAGAATTGAAAGACGGAATATGTGTTTCTCTGTAGTCCTATACTGAATCAATTTTAATATGGTTTTCATGTTAATATTATTGTTTACTTAGGACTAGTGATGTCCCGAACTGTTTGCCGAACGGTTCGCCATAGACTCCAGTCAGCAGACACATTCCAGCCAATCAGCAGCAGACCCTCCCTCCCAGACCCTCCCACCTCCTGGACAGCTCACTAAGAATGCAGCTTCAAAATGGATGCTGTCCAGGTGGGAGGGTCTGGGAGGGAGGGTCTGCTGCTGATTGGCTGGAATGTGTCTGCTGACTGGAGTCCGCGGCGAACCGTTCGGCAAACAGTTCGGGACATCACTACTTATGACTGCTATAGTTAACCCCTTAAGAACTAACCCAAATGTACACATTGGGATCAAAACAAAACGTAAACAAAAACTTGAATTTGCGCTATATGTCTGTTCAAGCGTAATTCGCCTCTTTCATATTATGTGCACCCACACTTATTACATATCATTTTATTCAGGGGAAACAGGGCTTTCATTTAACATTAAATATTTAGGCATGAAGCATAATTTAATATGAGTAAAATATAAAAAAATGGGAGAAAATAAGAATTGTAAAAACAAATTTAGTTCTACGTGACATTTTAACTGTGAATGTCATAATACTGTTTGCTTTTACTACAATAAAATACACATATTTGTATTCAGCGATGTCTCACATGTAAAACAGTACCCCCTATGTAGGTTTTATGGTGTTTTGGGAAGTTACTGTCACGTATTCATCCGCTTATAAAAATATGATTAATGGCATTTACTGTCCACACAGGAAAAGTTGTGCCGAGCAGCAACCAAATCCACAGAAGGGTTAATGCTGAGCAGCAATTAGGCAAATGAGATCCTGGTAAATGCCTTTGGGGTCAAAGGCCGGTTACAGGCTATCAGATCTAGAGGAGGGGTATTTAGGCCCAGTTCTCATCCTGCTCAGTCGTGGTTTCCCTTGTGGTTGTCCGAGAGCGTGTTATTGATTCTGGTAATTCTGGTTATTTGACTTTGGCATTGTTTTTGACTTCCCTGTTTTCTGGCATCCCTGACCCCTGGCTTTTCCTTATCGTGGTGTCTCTTTCTGTATCTCTTGACCTCGGCTATTCCTGACTATTCTTTGGTACGTTAGCCCGGCCATACTAAGGTCCGGTATACGTTACCTATCAGTCCTCTGTGTTACACAATTCTATGTGCTGGATCATTCTGTAATCCTGACAGTTACAGGGTCAAATGTAGCATGTTACATTTTTCATTTTTTTCACCAAGAAATTTGCCAGATTGGTTACGTTGCCTTTGAGACCGTATGGCAGCCCAGGAATAAGAATTACCCCCATGATGGCATACCATTTGCAAAAGTAGACAACCCAAGGGAATGCAAATAGGGTATGTCCAGTCGTTTTTAGTAGCTTCTTGGTCACAAACACTTGGTCATTCCTGGGCTACCGGACAGTCTCAAAGGCAATATAACCAACCTGGCGAATTTCAATGTGAAAAAACTGAAACGCAAGCCTTATATTTGACTCTGTAACTTTTAAAAACACCATAAAGCCTGTACATGAGGGGTACTGTTATACTCTGGAGACTTCGCTGAACACAAATATTAGTGTTTCAAAACAGTAAAACATATCACAACAATTATATCGTCCGTGTAACTGCCATTTATGTGTAAAAAATGCAAAAAATGTCACTTTCACTGACGATATCATCGTTGTAATACATTTTACTGTTTTGAAACACTAATATTTGTGTTAAGCGAAGTCTTCAGAGTAAAACAGTACCCCCCATGTACAGGCTTTAGGGTGTCTTGGAAAGTTATAGGGTTAAATATAGTGCTAGCAAATTAAATTCCCTGGACTTTTGACCTGGGTTGTCAGGCAGGTCCTGCAAATTGTAATTAATAAAATGACCTAATTATGTTAAATTATTACATAAATATATACGTAGAATTATTATATATATATATATATATATATATATGTGTGCATATGTGTATATATATATATATATATAGTGATATATACGTATATACTTATGTATATAGAAATATATATTATTTCTTTCTACATGTATTTTGATATCAATATATATATTAATTTTAAAATACAGTTAGAATGAATTTACATATATTCTTTTTTCTTAAGTTTTTTAACGTATTTACATATTTATTTTATATAATATATATATATATATATATATATATATATATATATATATATATATATATATATATAATTATATTGATGTGTTACAAAAGTTTTGGAGTCCAGTAGCCAGATCAGCAATGTTTTCTGCCAGAGGTAGCCACTTGTTACCCAGGTGGTTGAGCCCCTGAGCCTTGAGTGGCCTCTGGTCTTAAGCAGAGATGGGAGACTGGAACAGAAAGATGATAATCGTAGTGAGGCAAGCCGAGGTCAGTGGGAAGGAGAAGCAGCAAAGTCAAAACAGTCCAAATTCAGCAACAGGGAAGGAGAAACAGGAACACGCTGGATTAGAGAGTACAGGAACCACAATAATCTGGCAAAGGTACAGAGACAGGAAGTGGCTTTTATAGGCCAAGAACCAGACACCTGACCAGACACAGCTGAAGTGAGTTGTCACTGATAACCTTGACTCTACAAGTAATGGTATCAGATCTCAGGTAAATTTGCAAAAGGCAGGCTGGTGTACTGGTAAGGAAAAGGTTTAGCACCATGTAAACCAGGGTTCGAAACCCAGCAGAGTCAGTTCCTCACAATATATATATATATATATATATAATGAGAATTATATATATATATTTAATCATTATCATTGTACGTGTATTTTGATATTATATATATTTATAATTATATATTAATAATAAAATACACCTAGACTGTGTGTGTGTGTGTGTGTATATATATATATCTATATATACTTAGATCATATATATAATAAACATATATATGATCTATGAAAACTTACCGATACCGATATTCTGTACATTTACCGTTTTGAAAAAAGAAACAATTTCTATACAAATCTACTGTTAACTGAACATGTTTATTATTTATTTTATTTTTTTGCAAATCTTTTTTTAATTAAGTGGTAAATGCACAAAATATACATGCCAGATTTTTTTAAATGTTTTAAAGTATACTTAGTGTTCCTCTTCCCTTCCCTTCCCTCCCTTCCCTGTCCCTTAGTGTACCTCTCCCCTCCCTTCCCTGTGCCTTAGTGGTCCTCTCTCCTTTCCCCTCCACTCTCTGCCCCCCCCCTTAGTGTAATATCTTAGTGATTAGTCTCTATGTATTGTGAATTCTAGTTATATATATATATCGGCATAATATATTTTTATCTGTAATTGTGATTCTGGTCTCTGCCAGTAGGTGTGTGTCTGTCAGTGAGTGTGTCAGTGAATGTGCCCCCTGAACGTCATCACGGGTTCTTGGAGGGGCCTGCTGGCCAGCCTCTTGCCTCAGGACTATGGGCCCTGCAATATACCTTGCCCAATGCATTTTAGGCTCTGTTCATGTGAGTTATGTGCTTTTGTACTCCAGACTGAGAGACCGACCGTTATCCCTAATTCTCTGGAACTGTTTTGGGCATGGGACCATGTGCATGGTGGGTCAAAAATAAGACCTCCATGAAATTCCTGAACCCCTGAACTGATCTGGGTGATTTCTGGATATGTTGGTCACCCAGATCAGGGCTATCAGGGCGATGTTGTGGGGTTTTATGTATTTTTAGGGTACTTTTGGGGTGATTTAAAAAAATGTTTTTTTTTTCTATGATTGGAGACAATTGGATTAGAATTAGTACAGTTACTGATCCAATTATCTCCCAAGTAGAGGGGAGGGATTGTGTGCTGTGTATGGGAGTGCATTTAATCACTGTTCTTATTGGTTTGTTTTTTTGTGTTGGAGTCCCCAACAATGTCCATGTGGGTGTACCCCTTGCATGGGGCTTGTCATAAATAGCCAAGTGTGGCTTCCATTAAAGAGAGATTTGTTTACTTCTTCATGAAGTCTTGGCTCATGTTTGGGGGATTGGAGAACTACATACACTCTGGGATTGATATATCACAATATTCCCCTGAGTATAATCACTAGCTCTAATAAGAGCTGTTCCTGCTATGCTCTCTGGACTAGGAGAGGTCTACCCACTGGAAGCTGGAGCCCGGTCTTGGGTCCAGGGTGGGTGGAGGACAGCGAGACCCCAACCAAGCTGCAGTGGTTATGGTGTTTCAGTGCAGTGCTTATGGTGCTCGCAAGTACTAGCAAGCAGCAATTGACGGAGGCACCCAGTCGGGGAGCCTGGCGGTCAGTATCATTGGTGGCAGAGGCAGGATGGCTTCCTATTGCAAGGAGAAGCATCCTGGAGACACCGGTAACGTGTGGATTATATTGAGGGCAACGCTAGCATTCGTGCAGCGCCCCTGAAAGCAGAGGTTCCCACAGACTTGGAGCAGGCAGGCGATCTGGAACCAGGTGACCATCAAGAGACAAACAAGAGAGACCACAAGTTCCTGATGGCTAAAACGAAGGGAGGAAGTCTCGAGTGAAAGGAGGTTTGCAGCAGCCCTTCGGCAGAGGTGGTGCAACTGATCTGAGAAGAGGCGTCTACCGATTTAATAGACTTTACATTTAAAGGATGTTAGCCTCTCTCCCCAGTGGCAGCCAGAGGTACCCGAAGTAGGGGACTTCATAGACTGGTCCTGTGAGGAATCCCAACTGGCAGGTGGCAATGGGACTGAAGTCTCTCCACCGGCCCTACAGGGATGCTGGGCAGCCGGCCCAGATTCCCAGCTACAGCCAGAATTATCGGGAGTAGGGACAGTCGGTCCTACTCCTCAGCAGGCGAGTATGTTATTGGGAGAAGAGACGGTCTCTCTCCCCAGCGGCAGTGTATCCTACAGGAAGGGGAGACAATCGGCCTCACTCCCCAGCAGCAGTGTGCAGTACAGGGAGTGGAAGGTGTCGTTCTTCCTCCCCAGTGGCAGGGTGAGTTACAGGGAGTGGAGACAGTCGGTCTCACTCCCCAGCGGCAGTGTGTTACAGGGAGAGGAGACGGCCGGTCCCTCTCCCCAGCGGCAGCTTACCTTACAGGGAGAGGAGACCACAGGTCTCTCTCCCCTGCAGAAGGGTGAGTTACAGGGACTGGAGACGGTCGGTCTTACTCCCCTGCGGCAGCCAGAGTTACCAGGAGTAGGGATAGTCGGTCCTACTCCCCAGCGGCAGTGTACCATACAGGGAGAGGAGACAACCGTTCTCTCTCCCCAGCGGCAGTCAGTGTTATAGGGAGA